CTAACGTGGCAGTTTTCTTTACAAAGTTTGTTCACTACTTAAGTGAACCGTAAAGAACTGACAAACTATCCGCTTGATCTTATTTCACATGATAATAACTTGCCAAGGGGCATTCAACAGCGCATTAGTTTTTCAGTTGATACAACCATTAACCTTGCACTCTGGCGCGTAAGTTTCGGTTACAATTTCTCAGCTATCCATTTGGATGAAAGAGTGAGGGGAAAAAGTGGACAAACGGTAACGGTACTATAATAAAGATACTGCATGCAATTACATCAAATCTGCAAAGAAGTGAATAGATGCATGAATGTCACTGTTTACGACATTCAACTATATCACTCAGTGTCTCTCTGACCTTCGATTACACTAATGCACGATCCCCGATCGGAAAGCCCAACGTGACCTATATATGTTCCAATCCCCTAGACAAGATTTACGCACCCTCAGACCAGGTCCTAGTCTGACCACCCTTTATCTTCTATCCATCCTCTGCTTTGACATAGGTCCTCGTTCTACTTCACTATTTTGATTTGTCGACTGGATGGATAGTCAATTAACAGTAAACAGGACCTAAATACGGAAATCTTGGCATAATGGTTACACAAACTAAATATACAAATATATAAATGACCTAAACTGTTAATTCTATTGCTCCCTCCCTAACCCCAAATAGTGTAGGATAGAGATGCGATCAAGTTGTCTAGTGCATACCGTTTGATTTAACTAAGACAGAAACCCTGTTCGTGTGTCCCACATCCGAGTAGCATATGATACGATCCGGTTCCTAATAGATCATGAACTCAAAACACCCTATCTCTGCCTTGTGGATTAAATCTTGTTGAATGCTCTCAATAAATTCCCTTGGATCGATCTCCTGTCTACGGTCACGACTGAGTGCGCCATCCCACAACGCCGATCTGTCTAAGAAAATAAAAAAGGAACGGTTTATGACCATCCACTTTCGGTCATCTGAGTTTCAGTTTTTAGTGTCGTGCCTTTCACATGTCTGTAGTCAAAAGGTGCACAAACCTGAACGTGTACTGCGTACGTGTCCGGATAGGATCAAGCGTCTCAAATGGCCTCTGCTGAGGAAGTCCTACTCACTGCCTTCTCGTGGCGGAGATGTTTTCTCACCAAGGTGAGACGACGAAAAGCCGACATTCGGGGCTATAACCGGGTTGTGGACCACTGACAGTTCATCTAGGGGAGTTGGCAAAAACCCTGATTCCAAACCACATACACACCTTTCCGGTTGTGACATTGGTCACCGGCTCAGTTGGGCATCAAGGTGTATTGGGCACCTTGGACATTTTACCCCGTTCGAAGGGCGTATGATCTAATGAACTGGACACCGGCTCCCAATGGACTGCAGTTTTCACCGCACCGCTGCCTTGCGGGTCTGGCTTTGGTTAGCCGAAAGTTCCGGTTGTGGATTCCTCAAGAAAATTCACCTGACTTGGCCTGGGCAACCTGGCAGTATTCAGACCACATTCAAATCGTGGAACGTTTCTTTTTATAGCGATTATTGTACCGCGATTTGTTTGGCACTCAGTCTGGCGTCAGACGTGTGTAAAATATAATAATAATAATAGTAATAGGCTCAAGTAAAAGAATACCGGTGCCCACCCTTTCTCGAATATCACACTTAAATTGATGGTACTTTTTCCCGTTCTAGCTAAAAGATCTCATCTTCAGTGATCGATTCAAGGCCAATTCTGCCCTGGTGATTCTCGATTTTCTCTACCGTCATAAATTTATCGATCCATCATCCGGTAAGTTTCCGCATTTTGGCTTTTTAAGTTTTAACACGACTGCTTTATGACTTATCACATGTACTCACTCGTTTTCTTTGTCGAAAAGAATCCAAATAAACGGTCTTTTCCGCTCATTGAATCAATACACCATCTCTCCCCCTCACGCTCGGGATCTTTTGCGTATGTTGCTGTATGCGTGTGTGACAAACAATGCTGAGACGAGAAAATTTATCTGTTCCACAACGTTACGTGTGCATCGGTTGCCAACTTAATTGATCGGACAGGAGCGATGTCGTTTTTTGAGTAAGAATCGCTTTTCCGCAAGACAAATAAGGTCGTACGTACCACGTGAGGGTCTACCAATGCATCATCAGTGTGGTATGTTTGGACTCTGCTGTGGCGTTTACTGCGTTTAATTTTATCGATGAGCTAGTTTAATAAAGACAAAAGTTATTTCGTCCGATAACACCGCGCAACTGTACCTTACAGTATATACGTGCAAGCGTATGAGTGAAGTGTTCGTGCAGATCATTAATGGTATTTTTTCTCAAGGTCTGAAGTGAATTTCGTCATAGTAGTCATTCTATCGTTCGGATTGTAGTGCGTGTGAGGTGAATCGACATACTTAATATGATGTGTAGTCATGTAGTCGAGGTCGAGGACAAGTTATATTAAATGGAAAATGATTCATATCCAATCTGTTGTGGCCAGCATGCGACCACACAGTTTTGGAAATAACTCAGTTTCATCCTGTTTCCAGTGTTCCCGCTTCCATATGCCCAAGTCTCTCCAGGAGTCG